CGCCCTGCGGAGGGTCGCTGAGCCGAGGACGTGCCGCCGCCGCGGGGAAGGGCCCCGTGTGTGACCCTCCGCGCAACCCCTGGTCCCGGTTTTTAGGGTTCGGGTTTTTGTTTTTTCTCTCTTTATGAGCCCCTTTGTATCTCATATTTAAAAGGGGAAAGGCGTCTTCCCACACCACCTCCGCTTTTTTATTTTTGGGGGGTCTACGTTACCCAGAAGGCTCGTGTCTTATCAGTGACCGAGAATTATTCTAATTAAATGTAGCTGTTTTTGGAGGATGGATGGGTGGAGAGATCCTCTATTATTGAGATTTCAGTCGCTTTTTGAGGCGTCCGCCAGGAAAGCTTCAAGAAACAGCAGGCCAGCATCGGGCAGAGCTGGATTGCAAAATTTGGGGGCAGAGCGGTGTGTGCACAGGTGAAGACAGCTAAAGCTTCCCTTACAAAAAAAAAGTTACTTAAAGATGCACTTTCATTAGATGGGCGTCCGATAGCATATGAGAAGTGATTGCAAGCGAGAACCACTGTTACTGGCGGGCAGCGATGGCGACCCGAGGGCTATTTGGGAACCACGTGCCTGGGTCCTGACGCCGCCGCGGCTGCTTGGGGCGGGGACGAAAGTAGGTTCACAGCTGTGACTGCGAAGCCGCTAACGCTGTCGGAATGCTCCCGGCGTGCATGCTGGGTCCCTGCAGACCACTGTGCGCCCCCTTTGGCTCACCCCCGTTCGTGTGCACCTCTGTGCCACACCTGGACCGGCTGTAAGAACTAAACGCGCCTAGTTAAGTGTTAGCCATGGTTACCGTCGTCATTTAGATGCCAATCACACTCGCTCTGCCCACGTGAACAAGTAGGAATCGCCTCAGGGTAAGAGGAATAAATAAAACCTTTGTGCGCAAGTCCCAGGAAAGGACGGGGCTGGCAACTAAAGCGGTGGTCAGGTCATCATGCGACTCATTGTAATGGTGAGAATGGCATTCCTCGAAGAAGCCAGACCACCGGAGGCTTGAAACAGTTGCTTAGTTGAGGTCTCCCTGTTTCATTCATTCATTTGGTGGCAGTGGGTAGAAGTTTGACAGTTTTAAACATCATTCTTTAACCATTAGTGATTTTTGAGTTACAGCAGTTAAAGTTACCTGAATTCAATGTCATTGAACCTCAAATAAATCTTCAAAAAAGTTATTTTTCAGATAATTTTAAAATTATTGATATCTTATTGCTCAAAATACCTTTAAAAACGTATAGTTAATCAGTAGATTAATACATTTTAAAGTATGCTTTTAAATTTATCAAAATAAAAAATACAGTACCTGGTAAGAATCAATATATAGATTGCTCTTAATTTGAATGAAAAATACCAGAAACTCCGGCCGGGTGGCTCAGTGGTTGAGCGTAGACCTATGAACCGGGAGGTCATGGTTCGATTCTGGTCAAGGGCACATGCTGGGATTGTGGGCTCAATCCCCAGTAGGAGGCAGCCAATCAGTGATTCCCTCTCATCATTGATGTTTCTATTTCTCTCTCCCTCTCTGAAATCAATGAAAAAATATATATGTAAAAAATAAGATACAGAACCTGAAGGCTTAATGAGATGAAACTTGAATTGTCAATGCAGAAATATTGAATTCACTAAAATACATTTTTCATTTGACTGAGAACTTTAAGGAAAAACTAGTTAACAGGTATTTCAAAAATTAAGTAAATACCCAGTATGATGGCTTTTGTATGTTTCAGCAGTGACATGTCTTATATTTGGTGTTGTCTCCATGCAATACCTAAGGTAGTTAGTGTTTTTTCTTTGAGTGTTTTCCTTAAGTTTACTTAGAATATTAACTGCAAGTTTTTGGTTCTTAATGATTTCCTACATGATTCATTTACTACAGTCCTCATGAAGACACATTGTTATTTGGGGAACAACAGCTTGGAATATGTTTGGTGGGTTTTTTTTATTATAGGGTGGTTTTTTTAAATGTATATGATGATATGATGTGGTATGGTATAAAGACAGGGCTTTGGAGTCCAAATTGTTCTGGGTTTTTGTTTTTTTCCTCCTAGTTTGGAATCTGAGCTCTAATGCTCTCTGTGATCTTAAGGAAGTTACTTGAGAGCTTTGGTTTTCTTACCTGCCGGGGTCCAACCCCAGCAGGTCCAGGGGTCCCCAAAGGTGTGGATGGAATCGGCGAAGAAGGAATGACACGGAGACAGCGTTCAGTTGATCAGCAGCCTTGCCAGGATCTCTAGCCACAATCTCCAGCCAAGTACTGTGTCCATGTTCTCTTGCTAGGTTCTCCAGCCAGGTTCTCCAGGTTCTCCAGCCAGGTTCTGTAGCCATGCTCTCACACTAGGTTCTCCAGCCCG